GCCTCGGGACAGAGACTCCTCGAATTCTCCTTAAAGCGTGTTGCCGTGTCGCGTGCTGATTTCCTGTGCCTGAGCAGGTGACGAGCTCGATGATGTCCCTGCAGAACATGCAGGTCAATGTGATTGCAGTGGTGTTGTTATGTGTATATATATATATTCATTTATACATCTACCCATAAGGGCCACCTTCCAAAGTCCCCCTAGAGGCTTTTACAAGGCGTGGCTCAACAAATCGGAAAGTCGAGATCACAGTGATTACATTCAGTGGATGTAAGGACGCACAAGCAAGAAAGACAACGTAGGGGTATAATATGAGGGCTTTTAGGGATAATGGAAAAAAATGGAAACTACAATTTAGGGGTACAAAAATGGGTTATATTGGGATAATGGAAATACAATGGAAGCTGGTATTGAAAGGTATACTAAAAAGAACCTAACCCTTAACCCAAAAATCAGAACCTTTGGAATTTTGGGGGTTTCTAGCAATCAGCAAGGCAAGCAGCCGCAAGCAGTTTTGGCTCCTCCGCCGATTCCTGAAAGCTCGAGAGGCCAACGGCTTCCTTGGCTGTTCCGGAGAGTTGGGGTTTGTACCTGTCATTACCAGCCTTACTATTACTACTATCAACTATTATGACTATGGTTTGTCATTGTAATTACTAGTGTTAGTATGATGATTAGTACTACTATCATTAAATTACTGCGGTTACTTCATTTCTGTTGTTACTACAAGTATTATCATTTCTACTATTGGTGGTTTTCCTCTAGGACTCACCTGCAGGGATACTTGATTACCTTGAGATTTGGGCATGGTAAAGGGCTCAAGGGCTGGGGGTTGCTGCATGAAGGGACGCACTCCGTGCATAGTGACTAATCCTGAAAAGGACCCATGTAGTTCCTTCCACAGGAAATCCCAAGTACGTTGGCTGTTGAAACCTTTTTCTTCTGTCTTACTGTACCGCGAGTGCAGCAGAAGCATGATTTGTTCTCTCTTTGGACCTCTGAGATTCTATCACGCCTATGTTGCTGAAGGGCTCCTAGACAAAAGAGGGCCAAGAAATGTGGGATACTTGCTCATCAACAATCTTTGCCCTCCCCCCATGGAGACAATTCGCTTCCAACTCTCCAATTACCGCGAGATTCCCCACTACGTTAATATGACGATGTACTAGCCAGGAGTGCTGGATGCTACGGGCTGGGCATCTGTTTTAAGCTGAAGGAAGCGGATTTCTCAATCACTTACCTCGGCTAGCGAGGAATGAAGGAATGGATCCCGGTAGTAGCCCCAATATACTATAATCCCAAATAATACGGCAGATTCCATTTTTCTTCCAATTCCCGTGCACGACTCTTATATAACCACCCCTACTTTTGGTTCCATGTCCTTCTCCATTTGATTCCCCCTTGCTGGGGTAATATCCCGAAGCCCCTCTATAATCTCCATCCATTTTGTTTTCCCTTCCTTCATGCCCTGCTGGCCTAAACCCTAAGCACTGAACCCTTTACAAGATCTAAACCCTAAACCGGGCAAGATCAGAGGTGCCGAAAAAAAGCCGCAGCCGAATTATCAAATTCCTGGAACAGCGCGTGCCAAAAGAAAGGCGGAGCTTGCTGCCCTTAGGGTTTGGGGGTTTGGGCTTAGGGGGTTTAGGGTTTTTGGGTTTTAGAGGTTTAGGGTGTAGGCTGCCAGGGTGTAGGGTTTGGGGTTCAGTATTTAGGGTACCCGATTTTGTGGTTTAGGGTTCAGCGCTCCAAGACAGGGTTCAGGATTTCAGGTGTTAGGGTATAAGGTAGGCATAGCCTGACAGAACTCAGGCCCGGATGCAAAAGGGTATCAGGTAGGTCTCTACTTGGCAGTTTCCGAAACATGGCGAACTCCTTTTTGTATAGCCCCGATATACCATAACTTTGAATTCATGATAAGGACACCCAGAAAGAGACCGAACTCTCGGAAACCACTGTACTGCGTGGCAGTTGCGGCACACAGCCGCCATCGACTGCCTTTTTCTGAGCTCCTAGAACAGGATTTCCCGCAGTTCAAATTTCACATAGCTACACCATGGGTACTGAAAGCAGGTAGTGGAGAGGAACTCTACCAGAAAAGGTTTTGATGAAGATCATCGTCTAGCCCACGACTGTGAGAAATTGTAGACCTGCATGTGCCTTGTTTCTCCTGCATAGGCAAGTTCGGCCCGCATAGGCTTATCCCGTAGGACCTAAATAATTTGAGTAGTGGAGACTCAAATGAAAAAATTGAAAGGTTACGTGGAAACTGTGTTTACCGCTTCATGTCTATATATGAGCGACAGTCAAAGTTTCCAACCATTAGATCATATCTCGGGTGGACATGACTTCAGTGGCTGACGCTGAAAAAGCCCTGTAAAACGATAGGGGAGACAAAGCAAAACGATAACGATGATGCAGCGAGCCGTGCTGCTGAAGACGTGTTAAGCAGTCATTCGATTGAAACAGGCCAAAGTGCTGAAAACGATAGGGGAGACAAGTAAAAACGATAACCCCAAGCCCATGTCCATTACCCAGGTATGGAATTTTTACCGAAGCTCATATGTATATATAGAGAGACAGTATATAAACGTATAGGTAAAGTCCTGCTGATCGTTGTACTTCTTTTGCCCCGCACAGTCAAAAAGTGCAGCAGCAAGACATCAAGCCCGGCGCTGAGAAAGCATGGATGTGAGGCAATTACCATTTCTGCAAACCTCCGTGTGCTCGGTTGCTATTAAGGAACTTAGTTCAAGTTACTGTAGTAGAGAAACTGTATTAACTACTATGTATACCTTTATGGTAACTTGATTTAAGTTCCTTGACAGCAGCCCAATTTCAGAAGTCATGGTGTGGGTTTGTCTGACACGAAGGGTATGAAGACTTAACATTGCCTGGGCGAGGCGTACTGCGATCTTCTGCTTAGCTTTGGATACTGCCTCCACTCATTAACAGCTGAATAATATTCGTAATATACCTATATAGAGGTCTTAATCTGACCCCCATTATTATAGACTGTCAATGGGTGGGCGCAGGACCCAAGTTTGGTGGTTCTTCCAGTTTCAAAGTTGAATAGCTGATTATGAAGAGAAGGACATCATGGGTGGTGGTATTTGACTGTCATTACGCTGTCCACGTAATGCAAACTTCACGGCAATCTGACGCGAGCTGCCCTCAAACTCCTATTGCAAGCAGTTCATATCTCTACTGTATTTGACTGGTGGCCTTCAGCTGGATGTGACCGCACCGGTGCTCAGAGAAACCGAGCACATGAGAACAAGTTGTCAACAAATGTTCATGCGAACATGGCTTGGGGTACGTGTTTGACGTCCTGAAGTTTGGAGGTTTCCCACTCTCTCGGAGACCAACTGAAGGATTCTCTCCCTGCTGTCGGAGCCCCTGAAGAACCTGTTGGCTTGGGAACTTCATCGCAGGCGCCAGGGTGCTTGGGCCGATGTTCCTTCCATTTGCACAGCACCTGTCCTGCCAGAATAGTGCACTGGCCTAGGAATCAGCTTGCTAAGAAGCTAGGTTGACTTGGACAAGGTTTTCTGGTCTGTGTGCTTTTGCCACGCCAGACAGATGCAAAGTCTCCACACTTGCTTTGCTTGGGCGTAGGCTGCTTGGGCGACACCGGCTCTTCTACATACTGCACGGAGCCATCGAGGCCATGATGATGAGGTGCCGCCCTCTTGGTGTCATGCACATGGTGAGTTCGCTCGATGTTGGCATGTTTTTGCAGACCATGCGGGCGTAGCCAGCGTGAACGCTAAGGGATAATCCCCTGAGTGTCCACCAGCTGCTCATTTGAGTGCGGGTCTCTTGCCAGGGTGTGCAGCGTGGCTGTGTCCGAGTCAACTTTGGCAGAGCAGGCGATTTGCTGCACCAACCGTTTTTAGAAACTTTTAGGGCCCCGGGTGACCGTATATGACATTGTGACACGACTATGACTATTGCCTCTGTCTCATGTAGCTCGAGCGTCTTGAAGAGCTGCTTCACCTGAGTTTTCGGGAGAGCCACCTGCTTGTTGATGTCTTTTGGTCGCATGCTCTTCTGATTAAGATGTAGTAGTGGAATGATTCAGAATGTTGTGTTTTGCACAGGTTTCAGAGTATCACATGGCAGATGGATGGCCCTACATGTTGTTGCGTGTTCTAATTCAGCTTGCAGAGGATGTGCTCTTCTGTGCGGGCGAGAGCGCGTCCCACATGACCTTTGTCCTCTCAGGGCAGTACCTCTACGAGCCTGCAACCCAGATCAAAAAAGTCAGGGCAGATTGCGCGAACCTGGCCCCGGCCCCAATTTTGATTCGCGTCCTTGATCCCAAGAAAGGGACGGCCAGGGCAGCACTGCATTTTCTAGCTGGTGCTGGCTGCAGGCTAATCCTTGAAGAGCCTTTGTGTCTCATGCAAGCAGCAGCAGTAGCTGCAATTTGACAGGTAGCTTATCTGGGCTTCCCATGCAGAGATTCCACACTTTTAGCCACTCAAAAACCGTACATGCTGCGGAGCAAGACATCTGGAAATGTCCTGACCGTGCACGCCGTAAGGCCTGGGTACGAGTTCCAAGAGACACGCGCTCAGCATTGGCGAGATAGCTTTACTTGTGGTACCAGGCCAAGCCTGGTTGAAACTTGAGACCACAATGCTGCAAGACTGCCCAGATAGACCATCGCTGTTTAGGATTTACACGTTGGCCTATGCTTGGGGTGCACGTGGCACCGTTCATGGTTTCAGGGTTCCGAACTACCATTTCCGGTTCAAATCAAGCTAAAATTGGGCTCAAGCTCACAACTGCTGCGGAAGCTGGATAATTCAGAAGATGATCAGTATCAGTACCCTTGTCTTTCATCTACATATCATGCTGAGCCAGTGAAGTTCGGTAGGGATATCAAAGACGGAACGAAATGACAAAACAGGCATCATGGTTTGAGTTGGCCATACTTGGAATCTGTTTAACAGAGCGGTGCGAATTGTGCCGGCGGCACTTCTGCACTTCAAATGGAGGCTGAAGATAGATGGCGCGGACAGACCACCACAAGTGGGCCGCACGCTGGCAAGTCGTGGTGGGCCTGGGGTCGAGTTTCAGAGCTGCGAGGTCTCTTACAAGAACTCGCGACCTCGTTCGGCCTGTCCTCTGCTAACCTCGACCAGCTCTGCCCTCCAACTGTGCTGGAAATTGGGGAGCAGCTGCCGAAGCCTCGCATTCAGCTCGCCTCGTTGCCTGACAAGGTTCGTAGCTTCTGCAAGGACGACGATTTCGAGCGCCTGTTCCACTCCCGAGGCCGGGACGCGACAGACATGATCCTGGGTTGCTGTTAATTGGAGCTTACATCAAGTGACCTACCATGATGGGTATATATAGTAATGAATATGGTTTTCCAAAAATGGTTTCACCTAAATGAGATTCCTTACCAGCTACCCAGGATCCGCAGCCTCCATAGCAACCTCGGGCCAATCCACGACTTCGTCGCCTACCCCTCTAACGAAGCGGAGGTGGCAGCCCTCTTAGACGTTTGCTCCCAACGCCGCATTGCCGTGGTACCTTTCGGTGGGGGATCAAGTGTTGTTGGTGGAGTGGAGCCAGTTTCAGCCGATGATGGTTTCTCTGGCTGCGTGGCTCTGGATTTGGCAAAGATGGACCAGGTGCTGGAGTTCGATGAGATGTCTCAGTGCGTTCGTGTGCAGGCTGGCATGTACGGGCCAGCGCTAGAAGACAGCTTGCGCCAGAGAGGGCTGACGTTGAGATACTATCCGCAATCCTTCGAGTTTTCGACCGTCGGCGGATGGATTGCCACCAAGGGAGGTGGGCACTTTGCAACAGGGCCCACACACATCGATGACCTGGTCCAGAGCCTGCGAGTGGTGAGTCCGAACGGTACGACCGAAACGCGTCGCGTGCCAGCGTCTGGAGCCGGACCCTCGGAGCTCAGGCTGTATGCTGGCTCGGAGGGCACGCTTGGCGTGATAACTGAGAGCTGGCTCAAGGTGCGCCCTCGCCCGCAGACCAGAGCTTCTGCCACCGTGGTCTTCCAGGCAAAGGGTGATGCAGACGCAGCATTCGAGCTGGGCGCCCACTGCGTGAGAGACATGGCGCAGACAGGGCTCCAGCCTGCGAATCTGAGGCAGGTGTTTTCTAAAACCCAAGATTTTTAGTTCTGGGGTATCTTGGCGCACTCAAGCTGAACCCGGTCCAAGGCTGCGCGCAGTTCCTGCCGAAAAAATCGCATGACCCCATACATTCATACACTAGCGCACTCACACCCGCCCAAAAGACTTCCTTGACATATACCTCGCCCCTGGCATTTTTGCCTTGGCAAAAAGGCTAGTGGCCGGGCCGGAAGTGGTGCGATCAGCTGGGCTTTCACAGCAGGAGCGCGAGTTGCTGGCAGCTGCCGCGGTGCTCCTCATCGGGTTCGAAGGTCCGTTTGTTTCAGAACTGTTGTATGCTCCTAACCAGCTTATAAATAGATGCAGAATAATGCAGAATAAGTATATATGGATATATATATATATACATGTATGAATCAGAGGAGGGTCCCGCATGTTAAAGAGGTTTCCGAACTTTGAGAGAGGCATAGTCGAAACTTCGCAGGCAACTGAGGTGGTATCCGCAGCGTTGCCAAGCTCATAATTGTAGCAAGATTGCTGACATGAATCTTACATGTCAAGACATACACCATATTCGAGCCAGGAGGTTGAAAATAATTACCGGCAGCGATTCTTCGTAAGATGCAAACGCATGCCTGTGCAGTTCAGGCTGCGAATGCCAGAATGTTTTCCTTCGTGCCCCCCACTCATATGAATCGTATCATAAATCTCGACCACTCCGAAAACTATCACGAGTACTGACAACCTGGATCCTGAATGTTTTTGCTTTTCTATCATAGCTTCCATTTTCTTTGCCAGTATCCCAATATATATCCCCTTTATTATCCCTATATACCCCTAAACCCTAAAACCCCCCCCAGCCCGCTTTGGGAAAGTCACCTATTCAGGAAAAGCTGGGACATCCCAGGTCCTGGAATAAGAACAGCACGAATGTGGCTATAGGGGTTCAGGGGGTTTTAGGCTTGTAGGGTTTTTGGGGTTTAGGGGTTTAGGGTTTTAGGGCTCAGGGGTTTTGGGGTTTTGGGTTTCAGGGGCTTAGGGGTTTAGGCTGTTGCTGTTGTTGCTTCGGAGGCCAGCCTGGCACCGCTTCCGTGATTAACTCGCAGCTGTCCTATCTAGTGGCTGCTTGGCACTTGAATCCCACAATTCTACTACCAGTATACCATAATACGACTATTATTCTACCATAGTGCTACTGTCAAATATGCCACCAGTAAAAATGTATACTTCCATTATTCTACCATTATGCCTTTTTTATTCTTGTTGGATGCAATAGGTATGTTCTGGGTATGTTGGGTCCGGCCGAACAATCCGAAAAGCCACATTGGCAACTTTCTGCTGATTCTATCGTTTTGTGTTTCCTCGCGCTCCTGTCTGTGTGCGGTTGAAGAGGCCTTCTTAGCTGTCAGAGACCTGCGGGCTCATGCACAATTCCAACAGACTTATAAAATGCGCATGCGTTCGGCTGACCAGGTAGCATCTATGTGCGAACTAGATTGCAAGATCCTGAAAAGCGGGGCGTCTTGGAAGATGAGATTGTCCAGTGCCGAAATAAGCAACTGAGGCTGTGGCAGAGAAGCGGGGCGGTCTCCTGGTCTCGCAGAAGCTGGCTGAAGAGGTCCAGGGTGCTTTTCCTCCCTGAGTTTCAGAAATCTTGGTGCTTGTGTTGTGCTTTGGCAGAACAAACACCAACAAATAACGCAAAGTGCGACACGACTTTTGTGTGAGGTGATTCTCCCTTGTTTAAATCACCAGCTGACCCACAGGTCAGCCAGAAGCAGGACAACTCTGGTGAAAGGTCGGGCATTGCAGGATCCTGGGGGAAGGGCTTCATGCGAGGAGGCTATCTCATGTCTGCCGCCTGCCTTTTTCCTTCAGTGCTGGTGAATACTTTGGAAACTGCCTGCACTTGGGCATCTTTTTTGCCACTGCATCGGTCTGTGCTCAACGCAGCACGGACAGCCATGAAGCGGGAGTGTGGGGTTCAAGGGCAAGTGACTTGTCGCTTCACGCATGTCTACCCAGATGGGCCAGCTCCCTATTATACGTTTGTGGTGATCGGGCTGGCTGCTACGCCAGGCGAGGATTCGAGAGTGAGGATGTGGCAAAACATCAAGAGAGATGTAATGCAGGCGATCATGGATCACGGAGGCACGTCCACGCATCACCATGCGGTTGGGCAGTTGCACTTACCTCAGTACCGGGCAGAAAGAGGAGCCCTGTTCGGCTCCACACTCGCGGCTATGAAGGCTGCGCACGACTCTGCCGGCATTATGAACCCCAGGGTTCTGGGGCCTTCAATCGAGGCACCTCCCTCAAAGCTTTGAAACACAGAAAGGACTGAAGAGCATCGGACGAAAACAGCAAGAGTATGCAAGAGGTGCGTGCACAGCGCCAGTGAGTAAGCCGAACCCTCAAAATGCCTGACAGATCAGCTTGCACTGTTCTGCAGACTTGGGGCTTTAATGAGGCCAGTCCCCGGACTGTAGTGGTAGAGAAGCAAGGCGAAATGCCAATGCTAGTGCGTCCACTCCTGCTTAAAAGCCCGCCTCATCTTGGCACCAAGCGTGAAGTGAAGCGCTGTTGCGTTTGAGGTCAACAGAGCTTTGTGGGGAGCCCAGCCACCTTGTGCCTGCTAGGCCGGCTCTCAGCGCTAGGCCTTCTACCTTTGGTTCATCAGCTTAGCAGGTTCTTTTTTTAAACCGCATGCCCCCAATGGATCTCCATCACCGGTACTTCATGGACCTAACGCTCGTGTATCCAAGGCTCCTACCGGTGGCTCGTGGAGCCATGTCTTTGGACCGACTGGCAGCATCTGGGAACGTCGGGCCCAAAGTGCGATGATATGCTCCAAAACAGGAGGATCCGTCCCTCTGAGGAACCCGTAACTTCCAGAAAGTTTGAAGTTCCAGGGGCGTCATTTTTCAGCTTTTGTGGATCTGGGATGTGCCTTTTCGCAATTAAGGCGGACCGCAGGACGGAGGACTTCAGATTTTTGGCGGCCATGTGCTGATTCCAATGGGGGGCTGACTTCAAATAGTTGGGTCTCCCTTGAGGGTGCTTTGTGGAATCCGCAAGAGAACGGTGCAGGAAAAGAGGATCCGTCACCCTTGGCCCTAAGCCTGTGTGTGAATATTGGCTACATTGGGCTGTTTGGATCCCTGTGCATCCCTATAATCGCTTAGTTTCCAAGTAATTTTCCATTTGCTTTTTCATTTGATTCTCCATTATCAGGGTAAGATCCCTAAACCTAAGCCCTGCATAACCCCTATGTTATCCCATACCCCTAAACCTAAGCCCTACAGAACCCACTATATGATCCCATAAGTTGGGTACTGCCCCCCTCAGTAACAGTTGGATAATAGTTATAATATGGTTATATAATATAGCCCTTAATAGGACCCCTAATATAGACTGTTACTGGGAGGGGGCAGTACCCAACCCATAAGTTTAAATGCGCGTTGCTGAGCTGGATGCTGCAGGCTGACTGCTGTGAAGAGTGGCCAGCCTAAGCCTAAGCTATCCAGTCTCCATGGACTGAAGCATTGGAGGGGCTTAGGGTCTAGGTTAGGAGGACCCCCCACCCTGCAATAGTGGTATAATGGGAATATAAGAGGACCCGAGTATAGTTACTACTATCCCTTATAGTCACTATTACAGGGTGGGGGGTCCTCCTAAGGTCTAGGGTTGTTTGGTTTTGGGACTTAGGTTTAGGGTTTTAGGATTTATAGTTTAGGGCTTGAGGGTTTAGGGTTTTAGGATTTATGGTTTCAGGATTCTTCGCAGGCTGGATGCAAAAGGGTTTAGGGTCTTAGGGCTTTAAACCTTCAGGTCCAATGTGGCGGGGTTGCTGGATCTGCTTGCATTTCACCATCGCATGTTGTCGATTTTTGGGAAATCCACACATGGAGAATATGACCCCAATACATCCCCCATATATACCCGATATAGTAGTTTCCCTTTTCCTTTCCATTATCCCAGTAGAGCCCCAATAAAATCTACTAATATATTAATGTTTTCCTTACATACCATACTTGCAGTCCTAGAGAGAGCCAGGCCGCCAAGGGAAAGTGGCCTGGTGGCCGGTTTTCGGCGCAACTTCTGTTGTGTTGTGGGCATTGGGGCAATATTGGGGTTCTTTTGTGACAATGCAAAAGAAGCTGGAAACTACTATTCAGGGTTTAGGTTGGGTTGGGCCCCCACCCACTAATTGTGACCACAAGAGATAATGGAAATTATATTAGGCTCCTTATATATTCCTAGTATACCAGTATTAGTGGGTGGGGGCCCAACCCAAGGTTTAGGGTTTAGGGTTGCTCCTTAGATGTGTTGCCCGAAGGCAGCCATGAAAGAGCCCGTGTTTGCGGGCAACAGTTTTACCACCTCCAAAGGTATCCTCCCCCCAGATTCAGGACCCCACTAGGCCTTATTAAGCCCTATGTAGTCCTTATAAGCTCCTTGCAATGTGGGGAGGGGTACCTTTGAAAGGATGGTCTTATATGATCATCCTTTATATATGTTTGCCTCTGAGCCTATCCTCAGAATCGATCTCATGCCTGCAGGAGTGATAAGCTGCTCTGTAATCAATGGCTCAGGCTTTGTCACCTCAACCCCGGTAAGTTTGCAGACGTCATGCAGGCGGGTGTACTGTTTGCTGCGCACTGAAGAAGTTATATTCACGAGCAGTCCTCAAGGCCATCAGCTTCTTTTGCTGACTGGTTCTTTGCAGGGGATATTTCATTATATAGGCCTATATAGGGGGTATCTTCCCTTATTCCGTGGTCCGTGTTAAGAACCAGTAAGCTTAGCAAGTCTCCAGGTAATCTTAATCGGCTGCTATACTGCTGTCTGTGGTGGTTGGATTTGGTAGTTTAGAAAGATACACATCATTGATTTCCGTACGATGTGCAATTGTTCCAATTAATTGCTGCCCTGGAGACTACTGTAGCTGCCAGATATGGAATTGAACTTGGACGCTTTGCCAAAACTTGTAAATGGGCCCATCCAGAGTTTTACCTTCTGGCTCTTACTTGTATGCAATATCGTTGCTGGTACTTCTGATCAAACATGACTTCCTGTCTGCACAGCACTGCTTTGATGTTTTGTTGTGGCATACTTGGCTCTGTTTGGATCGCTTCGGCACGGGGGCGGATCCCAGCATAGCCATCCCTCAAAGATCCTGAAGCAAGTCATGCTCGATCCAGGCGCATGTTTGGCGGGGGCCCTGGCACGTGTTGCAATGCCATTTGGGGTGACTCTTGTTTTTTTGTGCTGGACACTTGGATCCCTGCTGCTGCGCTCTTTTGGCCACAGATTTGCTTTGAGGGTAGCGCCTCAGCATCATCTTGCAATACTGCTTCATCTGACTGGCAGTTCAATGTTGCCGCATAGTCAGTCAAGTACTGCAGCTTCTTTGAGATCTGTTGCTCAAGAATTTTGGATGCTTTCCGATTTTGTCTAGCAGGATCACTCTCAATTGGGGTGTTCCACTAAACCGGAAACGCTCGCTAGATCCTGGTTGCTCAGGCCCTGGAAATTCTGCAAGCAGTATGCGCTCGGCTTCCTCGATGCCCTGAATGACCTGGATCCTTGGCTCAACTGGAGAGCACACTATATGGGGGGGATGGAAAAGAAAATGGTAGCTACTATTCAGAGTTTGGGGGTTAATTAAGGAATGGGCAATGATCTGGCAACTGGACTATGATGGAGAATCAAATGGAAAAGAACATGAAATGGACACTGAGATTATGTAAGGGATGATGGGAATCAGCATTCCCACTACAATTCCTGGACATGGGTTTCTCCCTAGTTAGGTACTCTTTCCCATGTTGGGGCCGTTTACGTAAGGGGAATACGCAGATGCTGTGGGGTAATCCGTTCTTCTATAAGCCCTTAAATGAATCCACAAAGGTGCGTACCCTCGAGACAACCCAAAACTCCGAACCTTCAATGCTCTAAACCCCACCAGTTTCTGTAAACCCCACTTCCCGATTAAAACTTGAAACCCTAATTCCGAGCTCCAAGAGCCTGAAGCCCTACTTTGAGATTCTGAATACGTCTCCTTCAGACCCCAACATCACTCCGTGCTCCCAGGATGCTTATGAAATGTCGGACCTGCCGGCGCCTGAAGTCTGCCGTCATGTGCATAGCATTGTAGATGGGGAGAGCATTGTCCTCTTGTAATTTCTAAACGGAAAATAATGTGGTAGGGGGCTCTTCGCAGGATTTGTATCAGGTAGGAGTTTTTCTCTGAGGCCAATACCGGGCTACATGCAAATAAACAAATATATATAATATAATATGGCCTGGGCTAGGAGGCGAAGGTTAGTAAGTCTCAGGCTCCCAAAGCCCAGCAAGCACAATAAATAGGGTCCTTGTTACAAACAGTGCCAAGTAATGAGGTTCTATGACATAGGACTGATGAAGGAGGGGTCTACCATGCTGGCTGAACAGCACAGAGAGCCTGCCCATGTTCTGCTTACAGGCAGGGTTGATAAAAACGAGAAAAGAAGTATGCATCGGTCCTGTCTTTCATACACGTACGAGTATCCCATGCGCTGTACGTCAACTAGGCTTCGAACGCTGTCTGGTTGTTTCGGCTGCTATGGAGATAATATAGGAGTTTCCATTTAATTTTCCATTATCCCTATATTACCCCTATATAACCATAGTAGTTTCCATTTCTTTTTCCATTATCCCAATAGAACCCGAAACAGCACGTATGGTAAGGTTGGGCCAGCGTGTTGTTGACCACGGCCTCGAGTGCGCATCTCAGCCTTCGCCTTCGCACCAAACTTCGGGATCCTGTATGGGAGTTTCCCAAAATTAGGGGTACCTTTTTGGGGATCCCCATATAAGGACTATAGTATATTAGGGTCTACATTAGGGTCCCCTTATTTTGGGAAATTACTGTATAGAAGTGTCACCTCAAGGCTTCCAGGGTATTAATATATAGGAATACGGAATAAATGGAGAATCGAATGGAAAATGAAAGGCAAGCTACGGAAAAAAATGCGGTTGGGCTTAGGGTTTAGTGTTTTGGAGCACTTTGGGGCTAAGGTTTGGGATCTCACTATGGTAGGGCAGGGTTCAAGTGCCCAGATTTCTTGTTTTCAAGGCGCCTAGTCTCTGCGATTTTGTGCATTGATCTCACTTTCTCAAGATGGGCTTCAAGCCAAACCCCTCAAACCCGAAATTCCAAGCTCCCGGGCCCTGCAAACCCTAGGATAACTACTTGAAAGGGGGCCAGCCAAAATCTGGATGGACAACAATCTAATGCCTGGAAGCCCTTTACAAAAATAAAGGTGCCCGAATAACTGCCAGTCCT